TTATTGGCCATCTCTTTTAGGAATAACCCAAACAGCTTGTTTAAAGAGCTCTACAGAAACAAATATATGACAGTTTCCTTGCTCTCCACCAACTCATCTTTTTTTTTTTTCAATTTGTGAAACTGCTAAATTGGGATTGCATTGCAAAATTTCCTACACATATTCTCTTCTTCTGAAATTGCCATTTGACAAATATCTGCCAAACAAACCTCTAAAAACTGAAAATATATGTTGTGTAGAATGAAAAGCAAATTTCCCATATCTTTATCAATTTATACCTTGATAATAAAAACAAATGCAATATATCTTAATTAAATGAAAATTGCTATAAAAAGAAGAACTGCAGGTTAAGAACACTCTAAAATGTTCCTGTATCTTTTTTAAAAAAATCTATTACTTGGATCTAACAAGTAAGACCAAAGTAAGTGAGGTGAGTTTAAGAGAGTAATTAAATAACTTACAAACTGAGAGGAATAGAAGTTCTGATCCTGGCTAGGATATAGGGCAGCACAGGAGACTGTTGTTTCTACTATACTGAGAACAAGCAAGATGATCTTCAAAACCATGATTTCTTTCATGAACACAGCAGGAAACCAATTACAGTGAAACAGAAATGAACTAAATTTCAGAAAATGATAGAACCTTCACAAGAGAGAGAAAAATCAGCACTGTATTCATTCCTGAGGGGACAAGAGAGAGAACTCCGTGTGATGAGTAGAGAAGGAGGCTTAACGTTTAGTCAACTATTAATGTCTACATGTAAGGCAGGGTGCAATGAACAGCAATCCCAATGAATCTAGTCTCTGTGTCAAGACTGCAACACTCAACAACTCTCTTCTTCAACAAGTTGGCACACCAACAGCTTCTGAAAGAGCAGGAAGGCCAAGAGACCTTCCCTAATGGCCAGCCTGCTGGAGAACAGGGTTGTGGAGACAAAACTCCCCAGTGCTTTCACCACAGGGACAGCAGTAGCACCCAGATTCTAGATAGAGGCATGAAAGCTGCTAGGAAGAAATTCCTCCGTGCTATCATGACAACAGTAATGTGTCTGCCTTAGCTCAATGGGCTTCAGAAGTCTGGCAAAAACTGAGATATTTTTTGGAAGAAATATGCAGGGAGGATAGGATAGCAAAAGGAACTACCCGGTGATCCAAAGAAAAACCGGTAACCAGTCTATAAAGCAATGGAGATCTCATGAGGGCTCAGATCTTAACCTATCCTGAGGAGAAATGTATGATCCCATCTGTAAAACCCCTGAAGTCAGTGATCAACTGAATCTAAGTAAAATCACAAAGAAAACAATCTGGGTTTATCTATAAATTAACTCAGCTCACCTCCCACTGGAGATGTCAAATAGAAGAAAGGGTATGCTTTATTGTGGAAATATTATTTACATTAGCCCTTTAATACAATGCAAAACATATAACAAGAAATTACAAGAAACACAAGAAAAAAAAGAAAAGGTGATCTATAGTCAAAGAATGAAACAGCCAAAACAAGAAGACAAGTAAATGCTCTAAATGTTGAAACAATCATACAGGAATATTAAATAACTATGATAAATATGCTACCCAATATACTGTAAAAGTCAGGCAACATGTGAAAAGAGAAATTTCACCAAATGGACAGGGTAATTATGGTTCAAAAAAATCTTAGGAAAGTGCAATATAAGAAAAATGCTTTAAGTTAGGTAGGCTTATAAAAGAAATAACACAGTAAAAAGAAACTAGAACTTGAAGACAGGTTAAAAGAAATTATTCAAATTAAAAGAGAAGAAAGACCAGAATCTAAGTAAAATCATGAAAAAGTCTAAACCTAGCACATCTGTCCATCAATTTGACTCATCTCTGATTCACACTCTATAGAACAGCATTAAATTAATCTAGTCCAGGTCTAACTGAATTCCTTGAACAAGGTGAGAAAGAATGAAGCAGAAGAAATGTTGGAGAAAATAATGACTGATCATGATCTAAATTTGATAAAGGACATCAACGCAGAGATTCAATAAGCCTTGCAAAACCCAAGCAGAATAAATGCAAATATATATATATATATATATATATATGCCTAGATATGCCAAAAAACAAAGGTAAAATGAAAATCATAAAAGTGGCTGAGGGTAGTGTGTGAAAGGGTATGGAGAAAATCCTTCCATGTAGTGAAACAATAGTAAGAATGATATTTAGTTTCTCATCAGACATAGAGTCCAGAAGACAGTGATACATAAGCAACAATACTGAACAATTCCATTTGTATAAACTCTCCAGATCAAAAAGCATATCTACATTCTGCATATCTACATTCTACATATCTGCATATCTAGCATACTACAAAGTAAGTGAGTCCAAAGTAAGGGATTAACTAGAAGGAAACATAAAGACCCCTCCACCACAATAGATGTGACCTTGCTTTGGGTTGCAGTAACATGGCTGCCCACCATTGTCAAAGCTCATCAAACTCATGAACATTGCAGTTTTAAGCATCAATTATACTTCTATAAATTGTAAAAAAGCTAACAGAGATATAAATATCTTTAAGCAAAAGATATTAATGATCATGGAGTCTAGAGTTAAATCCTAAAGAAGATCAAAGACGAGTCTGTCATAATCCTGAGTAACAGGCACACGGTTTGATCAGCATCCATTTTCTGGCATGAATGAGTGCCCAGGATGCAGGACCACCTCCCAACCAGTCTTCTGTAAGAAAACCCCAGCTCACCTATCAGGCTTACTGCTCCTTCTGGTGGAAAGATAGATTCTTAGGGAAGTTCAATATTAGAATGATGTCCCATTTCATTCATTTGAGGGAGGATGTACTCACAAGAGAGGTTGGTGAATTTAAAAGGTGAGTACATTTCTATAATGATTATTTACTTAGTGAAAAAACACCAAAGGTGCATTTACAATGACTTAAAACTTCACAAGAATAATAGCTAGCAGGAGCATTGCCTACAGCACTAATCAGCCAGTAATGGTACTTTTAATACATTGCACAATGTAGCAAAAATGTGGTGATCACATTCTGACACTATTATGTAAATATTTTCTTTTTTAACTTTAGCCCAGTTTAACTATATAGAAACTTTTATATGTATAATGCATTTAAATTCAAAATTATATTTTCATATCTGGTATTTCCCTGTTTCTGAGACAACATACCTGACATTCACAACTCAGAAGAGGAGAGATTTAACTGAGTCATAGTTTCAGAAGTTCCAGTCCATGGTCAACTGTCTCCAAGCAAACATGAAAAAGCAAAAAGGCCTGGAGGACAGCTGTTCAGTTCATGGGATTCAGGAAGCACAGAGAGCAGAAAGAGCCAGAGGGGAGAGATTCCCCCAAAGACTTCACCCTGGGGACCTTCCTCCTCCGACTTCCCCCACACCACAGCCAGCTGTGAACTGATCAATGGAGGGACGTACTGATGAGCGTAACACCCATGACCTAATCACCCTCCAAATGCCATCTCTGAACACAAGAGACGTTGGGGCCATGTAGAGCTAAATCATATACATCATTTCAAGAAAATGCATTCTTTTTATTTTGAAACTTGGTACCTACCATGAGTAGTGTCAACTTTCACCTATCCTCATAAAAGACTTGATAATTGTTGTCCTACTGCACCCCACACAGAAGGGACAAGTGCATTACTGTTGAAATGTGACTGAAATCCACCTACAGTTATCCAGTTTTAACACGCCTTTCAAGGGTAAAATATTTTCTTACAGTGAGTCCTTAATGTGTCTTGAAGGGGTGTTTGTTTGTTTTGTTGTGTTAAAACATAAAAACCAACAAACTAAACTTACCCAGTCTTGAAACAAGTTAATTGAAAATTTAAGGTTTAATTCCATCTTTTTTCTTCTTCCTTGCCATTTTTTTTTTCACCTAAAAAATAGCAAAGCAGTAAAAGAAGCCATGCATATTCAGTTTTTCAAAAATGTTGCATGGTGGCTATTATCTGTTGCTTTAGAATCGTGCTAGAACTGACTTTTGCTTTGATGTGTTTGTTTCTCTTACTGTAAGTACTCATATTTTTGCCTCTAACCATGCCACAGCTATTAAATTTGTGTGTAATTTCCATCTTATTTTTATAGCTAGGTGTAAAAGTGTAGAATAATAAAGCATCACTCTTCAGAGTGTGTTTTGCTTTGCTATTGAGATAACAGTTTAAAGCTGGGCATGGTGGTGGCCACTTGTAATCCCAGGACTCAGGAGGCTGAGGCAGGAGGATCCTTGTGAGTTCGAGACCAGCTTGAGCTACAAAGTGAGCTCATGGCCGGCCTGAACTGCACAGGGAGACCCTGTCTCAAAAGGACAAAAAAAAAAAAAAAGAGATAGCAGTTTACCTTCATCTTATGGTTTTCCAATTAATTTATGTCTTCAAACTTATAAGTCATTATGAAGATCAAAGTCTAAAACATTGATTTTAAAGTTCTAAAATGCTGACATAAGTTTCTCTACTGAAATTGCTTCTAAAAGTGCTCATCTGTATTTCTGTTGTCTTTTGCTTTTGAAAGGGAGATTTGATGTCAAAAATCTAGTATAACTAACTGCTCCAGGAATTTCATGTTCATGTAAAATTCAGAAGGAACCAAACTAGGTGTGGGAGTGCAAAACACAAAATGGTTTTGTAGATGAATTTATAGGATTTTTACATTTTAGTTCAGCTAATGTGATGATCCATTCAAAAGGCATAATTGCAGCATAATGTTTTTGATTTGCTTTATATTTAAGAGACTGATTGGCTTTCTAAGTCAAAATTACCCCACAAATAAGATGGTCATTAATAAGAATAGTAGTTTATATTTATTTTAAAATGAAAAGTAGAGGAAAAAGGTACCACATTGCTAAAACCCCTGAAGGTTTCTTATGTCCAAATATATACTAAAGTCTGCTCTGCTTGGTGGTGATTACTTTCAGGACTAGATTATGCTTGACTTTCTTATGAAACTGCAGACATAATAAAAGCATGTTAAATGCTTGCATTCCTTATGCTTTCAGATAACCATATCGACGAACTCCCAACTCTTCTCCACTGTGCTGCAAAGTTTGGCTTAAAGAATCTGGCTCTTCACCTGCTTCAGTGTTCAGGAGCGAGCCGGGCATCAAAGATGAAAAATATAAGTGGAGCAGACCCAGCTCACATTGCTAACAAGTACGGACATGAAGACCTCAAGAAAATCTTTGAAGACTTTTCAGTAAGTTTCTTTTTATACCTCAAAACCTCTTTATTAAGTATGTGTGTACACATGTGCACATATTTTTTTTGAACTAATACTATTGCACAACTAATTTATACAGTCTGTAGGTTCTGGGTTGTCTATTGTGTTAAAAAGGAGTCTGTAGATTAGTCCATTTGCTCTATTATTGCCATAAACTCTGACTTGCATCCTTAAACATCCATGTTTGAAACTTATCTGTTATTTCTAGCTTGTGTATCACATATCTGGTAGTGAAGAAGAGATAGGTAAAAAGAAATACTCATATTCCCTTTACTTGTTTGCTTAAGAGTCTATATAAGACATTAGTAAGCATATGAAAACACATGAATCAATAGTTATTAGGTTAAAGGAATGCATTTTGATAATCATTCCAAAGGTCTACCCAATAAAAAGTTAATTTATGTTATTTAAATTTATTTCTCTTATGTTATTCTTTCTTTTCACTGCAAAATCTCAATTCTTTACTTGTGTTGAAACCCCAAATTTCAGAACACTTTGATGGATATGAGTTTGTAAGAATGTAATGAAGATAATATTTTAGGAGGAGAGTATTTCAGCAAGTAAAACACACTTGAGCTGCCATAGTCAAGTTTAGAGCAGCAATTAATTTCTGTTAGTAAGAAAAGTATGCTTGTTTTTCTCCAGAAAGTGAATTATACTTCTACGACTCCTCAGGAATTATAATATGACAACGATTATGGTGGTGACTGTCAGAATTTATCTTTGGATTCTCAGAACAGATGCAATTGTATTCCCAATAAGCAGTTTATGCAAGGTTATTTGAGAATTTATTTTGATTATCAGATTGAATTGATCTAATATGCAACTTTTAAAACCATTGGTATTTGTAATTTTGAAAGAGTGAAAAGTCAGTGAAATTTTGCATTTATAAGAGACTATGGACATTAGTAATCCATAATCAAGAGACTATGGATATTAGTCACTCTCTGAAATTACAATAGTATATGTATTTTGTTCATATTTAAAATAAATATAGAACATACAGTGTTGTAATAAAATTAGTTAAGTACTGATTTCTAGTCTATGTCCTTCAAATTAGAAGTGAGCATTGCTTTCATTCCTCAAGTGATTTTAGACAGTAATTCTCACACATGCTAATGTTCAATTGTTCTAGTTCATCTGATAAGCACTATAATTTTAGTGATTCTCCACTTCTTAGAGTCAACATGGCATCCTTTACAGGTAAGCAAATGAGTCTACTCAGCCTTGAAACTTTCCCATAACACTGTCATTCAGTAGATCATGGTTCCCAGCTCTTTACAGCCCTGACTAATTTGTAGCCACTGGTGGACTTAAATTTTTCCCTGGAAGTCTCAGCCACCAATAAATTTTCTCTGATTTTCTAAAATAAACCCTGATTTTCAAAGAATGATTCCTTCGCTTCTTGCCCTCCAGTAAAGATCAATGGATGCAGTCCTATGTAAACTGCAGATGCCATAAATAACACAATATTACACAATGGTGATGGTGGATATGAAAGAAAATATGAAGGTAGGAGATGAAGATGGATAGACATAGGAAATAATTTTTCTCCTGCATCCTATGGGTGTTAACACTTCTGCTGCTGCAGTAGCACCACGGACATGAGCCAGTGTCTGTCACTGTCTGTAGGTGATTGTTCCCTGTTCACAGGACCTTCTTCCTGACTTTGCTGAGCCTTACGCAGTCATTATTCTGCAAAATTTGTTAAGTGATTTCATATATTCCAGCCTGAGTGCTTATGTTTTGCCAGAATTGTAGATGCTGGCATTGTTGAGTGGCTGGATCTGTCGAGTGGCTGTCTATCTGTGAGGTTTCTGCTGCCAGTGAGAAAATGACTACACCTTTCACGAGGGTCAGCAGATCTGTAAACCTATTTTAATGACTGGAATTGCAGGCAGAGTAATTTTGCAAGCTATGAAAAGCCTTTTGGAAAAGGGATGGTTAAAAAATAGAAACATACTGGTTCATGACACACGTAGAAGTGTTTTGTTGACTTATCTACCACATAAATCATCTTCCTTACTAGCAGTTTTTCTTTAAAACAAATCTAAAAGTCATATCTTTTTCATGAATGTATATCAGATAATTATCTGATATAGTAATATTCTTACTTATGGAAATAATGTCTTTTCAAGGGTATATATAAACCTACAAGAGAGAAGCTGTGAAACCTCAATACACCGCTAAATACTTTATTATTTTTAGTGGTATTTATATTAACATAGATTTTAATAAATCTTGTATTTTAATAAATTTGTGTGATAAATCAAAAATTTTCACATATGCATTCAAATTTTTCCATGAACCATTCTTTCAGAAGTACTGAAAGAAGTAGATCTCCTTCAAGTTCGAAGTTTATAGTCCATCAGTGGACCACACTGTTTTGATGAAGAAGTTTCTGTTCTTAGCGTCAAGCCTATTTTTCCCTTGACTCAGTGGTCTGTTCAATTCTTCCTAAGCTCCCCATAGCAAAACACTGTTCATTTTAGGGCCTCACATTACAATTCAGTGAGTTGGATCAGATCTTAAATGAGCGGGAAGAAAGAGCTAGTTGTGGTTTTAGAAAAAGGCAGGAAAAAGCTTTATCAAGTATTCATAAACCAAGGGCATTCAGAGCTGGTGTGACCCATGCAGAGGAGAGGAGGAGGAAAAGGAAAAAGATGTCTCAGACTTCACTCCTTCCACAGCCTCATGTCATTCATGTTTGAGAACTTAATAATGTATGCATAGTTTATGAACAGAGCCTGTTCATTGTGATGCCTTTCGTGTGTGACATACTTTCTAAGTGACAACCATACTTCTTTTATGGATTTGGTACTCTGACCAGTGATGATACCATATGTTCCTAGAGTCTAGAGAATCTTTCAAGTAGCTACTCACTCTTCAGTTTCTCACAATGCCATCTCTGAAAACCGATATAGATGGACAAAGGGTGAAATTTAAATACACAACCTGGATGAAGCACAATTTGGTTAACAGAATTATTGAGGAAAGCCCAGGCAATTTCAAACAGCAACACTGAAGACTAATTTGGCTCTTTAAAAACTTATCTTTTAAACCCAAAAACTATAAAGAAATTGAAACTTGGCCTCAGATTAAAGAATACCATGAGGTTTAAAATAAAGTATATAACATCCATTGTTTATATATTTTAAGCAAAATGATATAAGTGCTCTGTCCTTATTTTGTCTCAAGTATCTCACCCCACAATCTCCCATCAGTTTAAAACGCTGAATGGAAAGAGAGCATTGAAGTGAAAATAGGGAATAAGACTACATACTCCTCATACTGACTTCTCTGGGGAATGATACTGAGAAATCATTTTTTTTCTTCCACGCATGTAATAACGTGAATATTGATAAGATATTAATTGTAAAATTCTTCAAGAAAAGTTAAGACAGGAAAAATCACTTTCTGTGTCCTTTAACTAGCTGGCTTTTAGAAAGGATTCCTGGCCTGAGGCATTTTTATTGCTCACATCTGTAGGGGATTCTTGTGACCTCTTCTGTTCTTGAGGTACCCTGCATTTGTCTTTGTAGGGGGGGGACAGAGAGAAAGAGAGAGAGAGAGGTTCTGTGCCCCTTAGAGTCCTACTGATCTTTTCCAGATGGTAAAGGATTGAAGAGTTGCAGGGGGATGGGTGGGTGGCAGACACTAAAGGATTAACCAAACCCCAAGTAGAAAGTGATAATCAACTGACTGGTACCAAGACCTATTACCCAGAAGTTGGCCATGTGTGTACAGTGAGCATTCCCTCTTCATGGCCCTTCATTTTCCCCCTTCTAGCATTGCTCACCTGTGCTCTGCATTTACTGCTCTGTTCTCCATCCTGCTTGGTATGTGTTGATGCTACACACCAGAGTGTGGATAGCACATCCTGTGTCACCCAAGTGAGTACTTCTCTGTTCATAGCGTAGGAGTTCCCGGTGGGTAATGGGCTGCCTTCCCCTCTCCCAGCCTCTGCCTCCTTTCAGTTCTTGAAGGGTGAGAAGCAAGTGTTCAACTTAAATATCTGTTTGCTCTTGCTCCATAATTCCCTCAATCAGGTTTGATATAGCAACTAAAATAAGTAGTTATATTGTCTAAATTGTTTAGTTTTAGAGAATTCATGGACAAAGAGCCTAACTGCTGTCTTCAGCATGCATTTTTAATAGTCTGGACTACAATGCATGTTAGCATTCTGGCTTGTGCTCAGTATTGATGTTCTGTTAGGACCTGAGGAACAGGAACAAGTCACATAACTGCCCTTGGCAGATACATTACAAATTCATGTCTCCATTTTGCTGCAGCAGCTGCTTAGCAATGTTTTCTAAAATCCTATTAAAGGCACCATGGTGGCTATTGCAGAATTTTTCTATACCTCAGTGTTTTAGTGTTTTTGTTGTTGTTGAGACAAAATAGCCAATGCCCAAAATTAAGGAAGGAAATGTTTATTTAGTTTATAATTTGTGGAGGCTTTAATTTATAATCAGCTGGCTGTAAGGCAAGGTGGCATGACACAGGGCCAACACTTTAAGATGGCACAAAACAGCAAAAGCAGCAAGAGCAAAAAGTGGGGGAGGGAGCAATCCTCTTTTTTTATACTGTAAACAGGCTATCCCCACCTAGAGGGCATGTAACACTCACATAATCTCTGTGTCCTCTTCTTGCACAGGCTCACAGTGAATACAGTGTCACTTAGTAAACCTTTTAAACTTCTAAAACTGACACAATAAACAATATCCTAGAGCAGGAAGGGCATGTCCCTCTTTCCCCAGGATGTAGAACTGCTGAGTCACTTAGCCAAGACTCTAGATTCCTCAAGTTGACACAGTGTACCAACCCTAACGCCTAGTTCTCAGACGCAGTTTTGATATCTCTATGTGCAAGCCCTGCAAGTCTTCTGTGAACTCTTTCTCTTTTCTTTGTCAAGTTTTCTTGTAAACACACTTGCACACATGCACATTTTATACATGAATATTATTTAGGTATAC